ACCGTTAGCTTCCAGAGGGTTGGAATTTCAGTTACTGTCATCATGCTTCTCCTGAAAACATCTCTGTCTCTATGTAAATAATGGGATTAACTTATCAGAAAATAGCCATCAGCAAGGAAGAACCTGAGTTTGAAAGAAATATGTGGCAGCACATTGGGGAATTGAACCCATTCAGCCTCTGTTCTCAGTCTTCAGCTTGGTCTGTAAATTCAGCCATACTTAATGGCTTCCCTTAGAAATATGTACCCTGTGGAAGATGAGTAGACTATTGCTGGACAGCCAGCTGTAAATCTTTCGGGCACAAGCAACAGTGATGATGGAATATGAAACACGGGAGGTGTGAGAAGATGAGGTGCAGGATAATGAAGTGGGACAAAGACATGTCAACCCAGAACCATGATCGAAATTGCAGGATTGAAATCCGTTTCCTGTGCAGTCACAGGGAGTCTTATCAGTATGTGCTCCTTTTGATGGTAGAACAAGGATTACCCAGAGGTCAAGTTCAAGTCAGGTAGATCTCAATTTTATCAGTGTCTCACCATAAAATAGTGATTTGCTGGTCATGTGCCATTAAGGACTTGAGTTCAGAACTTTTATCTCGGGGGGGGGGGGTCTTCTGTCCAGCAGTCCCTGAGACCACTGAGAGGTGAGGTGACAACGAACTGGTGGTGAAGAATGTTTGAAGCTCATTTAGAAGGGCAGGCAGAAGGGTGGTCCCGACAGCACAACAGCCTTGTGACTGGCTAACCAATACGTCCCTTCTGGACCTTCCAATGAAGTCAAGTCAGGAAGAACAACAAGTCAGGAAATTCTATCTTAGGGCAGGCTCGCTATCTGCTGAAAAGCAGGGTGAATTTAACATTTGATTCCAAGAGTTGTTTACAAAGGAAGTCCTAGCAGAGTAGAGAAGAGAGACTGGGGTGCAGGCCTTCACTCTTGTGGCTTGCCCAGTGAACAGGCCGTGTTGGGGTCCATCAGCCAAGGGCATAGTGTGCCATGTGCCTGTATCTTCCCAAATGTGCTAGGCGGGTACAGATCTAGGGGCGATCTCCCACACTTTTACATTCACAGTGGCTTTAATAACTAAAACGACTAAGAAATACCTATGGCATGATTATTTTTTATTCTGTATGTCTGGACCCGTGCAAACCAAAATGTTACAGAGTCCAACGGGGAAGAACTGCAGACAAAAGTTACATGGAAAGAAGAGATAGAAATAAATCTGTAATTTAGGCGTATTTAGTATGGACCCTAGGCATATATATCTGTTTATTAAAAAACAAATGGAAAAGGAACACTTTTTGATATGGGGGGAATTGTGAAACATGCATGTTAGGGTGCAAAGTGTGGCCTTATACTAGCTATTGTTTCTGTTCTGAAACTCCCCATTCTTAACCGTGGTCACCCCAAAACAGTCTGAGGGTAGTGATTGGTGATGTATTTTCTGTGGTTGGAGAGGAGAGAATGGCAGTGCCTGGGCATGCGGACAGGAAGAACGTATGCATAGATCAGGATGAAAAACTACCCATAGGAATTCCAGTTTTCTGTCACTTCTCTTGCTCTCTACCTCCCCTCTTTCTGCAGTATTTCAAATTACTCTTCCTTCCTTTGCTCGTTGAACGTACCACAAAAATGTCACCATCATTGTTGTTGTGTCATCTTTTGAACATCACCATCACCATCAAAATCATTATCATCTATGGTGTCTCCCGTGTGCTGGGATTGCTCCAAACCTTCTGTGAATATTTACTCGGTAATTTTACTGTCACTGTGTGAGATGGATGCATTAGAATCATCATTGTTCTGCAGGTAAGGGAAATAATGACATACAGAAGGTAATGCTGACCACCAGAAGTTATATAAGCTGCTGTGGGTTACATAGCTGCCGTCAGCCACGTTTGTATTTTCATGCCCAACACCCAAGGAACAGTGGATTTTAAACCATAAAAGGTTAGGTAAGATATCTATTTACAGGATGCTGTTTCTAGACATCTGTTTCGTTTCATGATGCTGATGTCTCTGAATGTACACTTAGGTCGTTGTTTGTAGTATGAGGATTGAGGATTTCTTTTCCCCAATTTTCCTATGTTTTCTGGTTTTGTTGCTTCATTTTAAGCAAAAAGGTTGGATACTGTGTTCTTGGATATGGTTAGAATGATTCACAAGTGTATAAAAACCAACATATTGGCTTTGTGTGATTAGAGACTTTCTCTTATTTATACAAATTCTGCATTTAATCATATGGTATCAGGCTTGATGTGATACCATAGAACACTTGTATTCAAAACCATTCTACTATTTTAATTTGTTAATTTTATTAGAGAATCATATTAATAGGTGTACTTATATTGAACTCTTTCTTCATTTCCAGGAGCAACTTTGTTTCATCTTTGTATGTTTGTCTTTGCAATATTAAATTCTGGTATCCACTATGATTATTTTTAGAATTCGCACCTCTGCAGTCATAAAATGGTTGCATTCTTTCCCCTTATCCCTTGTCTTAGTTGGTTTGAGATTTTAATATTAAGGATTGGGAAATATATTTTCTGTGCTCTGTAGTTATTTGCACTAAAATTGCAAAAAATGTTTTGGAAAATTCTGTAATTCCATTGTCCAAAACTCTGTTACATTTGAGTAGACATTTTGGAAAATATTCCATTGGGGTCATCTGGATATAATGCTGTTCTAGGTGTGACTCATTGATTCAGTCCTGTAAAATCAAATTTAGTGAAACGTATTTTTTCCAGACACATATGTTTCATCCAGATATAAAAGTCCCAGTCTGTCTCTGGAAAAGTAGCAGAAAAGATCCCAAGCATTTGGGCCCCTGAATTCGTTTGGGAGGCCTGAATGAAGGTCTTGGTGCCTGGCTTCGGCCTGTCCTGGGTTTTTCTAGCTCTTTGGGAAATGAATGAACAGCTGGAAGATTTTTGTTTCTCTCCCCTTTTCCTCTGCTCCTCTCTACGTAATTTAAAAAAAAAATCTTTTTTTTTTCTTTTTTTATTTATTTATTTGAAAAGCAAAGTGACAGAACAGAAAAGTGGATCTTCCATCCACTGATTTAACTCCCCAAATGGACACAATTGCCAGAGCAGGGTTGGTCTAAAGTGAGGATCCTGGAGCTTCTTCCAAGTCTCCCACATAGATGCGAGGACCCAAGAACTTGGCTCATCCTCAACTGCTTTCCCAGGTCGTTAGCATAGAGCTAAATAGGAAATGGAGCAGGCAGAATGTGAACTGACACCTATGTGGGATACAGAAGCAACAGACAGATGCTTCGCTTGTTAAGGCAAGGTGCCTGCCGCAACTTTTAAACAAATAGATATGTATTTTAAATATAAAGAAAGTACCACTCTGCTGTTTAGTACAGCATTCTTAAAGTCAACATTTTAGTTACATCATTTTTCTAATCTTAATCTTGATTTAAAATTTGCCAAGGATTTATTTGCTTGATCTAAGAAGTAGTTTTTATTTAGTAATCCAAACCTGTTGTTTTCTAATTTTGCTAGTTCACTGATTTTTGTTACTAATGGCAGTTGATCTGTCATGTTTTCCTTGAATCTTCTTGCCGATATTTTGTAACTTGATTTTATTGGTCTTTAATTTTTACTCATTCTCGTGATCCTGAACTAGTTGCCTACCCCACAACATTCTAACATGTTGCAGCATGGACTCAAATAGTAAAAGCTGAATGAATGAAGGCTGCTTTCTACTCTGAGTCTTCAGCAGTAACCACCTGACATGCAATGCACACTCAACAGTGGAATCTGAACTGCTGCCACAATGGCCACAGCAAAGCTCTTGAATGTATTATAGAAACTATGACACCTCTATAATTCAAACCAGATAATTTGGCACTAATACTCACTTCTTTGGTTTTTATAAAAATAATAAAATTATAAAAATAATTCCATAGAATTATCAAGTGTGTGAGTTTCACAAATTTATAGTGCCCTTCAATGAGAAGAATAACTTGAAATATAAGTCTGTTTGTTGTTCGAAAGTTTCATGTAGCTCATAATATAAATGGAAAAAGTTGTGCACAAGTTGAACTTGCTACATTTAAAATGATAATACCTTGTTGCTTAGCAAACAGTCCTTTTAACTTGTGCTGTTACGGATAGTGGGAGAGATCATGCAGGACACAAGTGATTTTGTGTAAGGAGGAGTCTCCGTGAGCCCTCCACACTTCAGGAACCACCATGCTCCGCGGCCAAACTCAGCGGCTTTTAGGTTCCTATGGGCTCACGACAGTCATCCAATCAACAAAGCATACTTAGGTGGTGCACAATACAGAGTATCCAATCAGCTTAGATTCAGACCACACCTTAAGACAATCAGGTCCAGATAGCTGCAGTTAGCTATGCTGGAAACCAAAAATGGAACCAAAATGGAGTCGCATCTGCCCACTGTTACGCAATATTACTACCTAGTTATACCTTGTCACAGTATCTGCATGTATTTGCCTTAACTGGTAAATGTGTGAACATTTCTAGTGGATAGAATATATTTGCTCAAATATTTTTAGGAATTTTGGAGACCTAAAATGTTTGTGCATACATTTATAAAATATTATAAAATATTAAGCTCAATAACTAATTTCATTGGCCTAGTATATTTGCATAGTTTTTATCGCATAAGGTAAATAATCATGTGTGCACTTTACATTGAGGAAGCACTGGATAATTAACATTTTAATTGCATTAAGCTATGTCTATATCAATGTGTGTGCACACACATAACAGTGAATTTGATGCAAAATTATGGGCATGCATTCTTTTTGATACACAAATATGCTCAACATAAAACTTACAGGTAAAAATAACTCAAGTATGAGTAAAAATAAGGGGTGGGGAGCATGAAGCCGCTAAAAAATAATCTACTTACTTGTCTTGTATTTGCTTTGTTCAGAAGGTAATGGTGTCTTTGAAGTAAAAAAATATTGATTCATCATCTTATAGCCAGAGGGATATTAATGCATTTTCTTTTTTTTCTTGTAGCACACTGATTTATGTCAGTACATGGACAAGCACCCTGGGGGGCTGCATCCAGAGAATGTGAAGGTAGGAAGAAAATCTTTCTTAAGCCAACAGTTCATGTTCTCATGCATTTTAAAAAACAGAAAAATCTAGCATCTCTTCCATAAAAAATTTTAAAGCTTTGTGTAAAGAGAAATGATACATAAACCAAAGTCATTGCTTTAGTTTAGCTGTTAGAAACCATGTTTTAGGGCTCAGTATGATAGCCTAGTGGCTAAATCCTCACCTTGCATCTGCTGGGATCCCATATGGATTCCAGTTCATGTCCCGGCTACTCCTCTTCCCATCCAGCTCCCTGGGAAAGCAGTCGAGGACAGCTGGAAGCCTTGGGTAACTACACCCACACAGGAGACCCCAAAGAGGCTCCTGACTCTTAGCATCAGATTCACTCAGCTCACTTGGGGGAGTGAACCAGAAGATGGATCTTTCTCTCTGGATCTCCTTCTCTCTGTGTATCTGTGTTTCCAGTTAAAAAAAAAACAAGCTAAACTAAAATTAAGCATTAAAATAAACCATGTTTTAGCATTACATGTTTTCATTGGAACATTTTAGTCAATAATGAGTAGGATATACTTTAATTCGATCTTTATACTGTGCAGAAGGACATCTCAAGTAGTTCTGAATTGAAACTCTGTACTGCACTATCTTTTGGTTGTAATTTGAGGCATCTTTCTGAACCCAGGCGATGTTGAGGGCAGGGATTCACTGTACATATTTCTTCGTTTATCTTGTAGAGATATGAAAATCATTCCATGTCCTACTGGTCTCATTCATTGTCTTTACCAGAAATTTGTTTGGTAGCTCTGAGATTACATATTTCTTGACATGTACTATGGAATTAGAAGTCACCAAAGTTATACCTAAAGCCTTTATGATGCACTTATGTGGTGGAATTCAGGTCACCACACTCATGATCCTGAGAAGCAGTTGGTGTTATCTGTGTGTTGGAAAGGAAAAAACTGTCTGTCGTTTCTCAGTTTTTCCCACACATTAGTTATGCTACTCTTTTCAACATGTTTATCTTTTGTATGTCTCCCTTTTTCTTGTAGATTGCATATATATGCATACTTACATAATATATATTTTATATATACACATATACACAAATAATTTTTCCTTTGTAAAAAATGTTACTATGCACATTTTTAACTTGTATCTCGTACATCCTTTAAAATGAGTGCACGCTGGGTACTCAGCGCATCTAGTATTGATAATGTTCCACAATATGATTAAAGCAGTTTTCAGCTGTTAATAACTCAAGGATCTTTGTGTTCTGTGTTTGTGATTGCTATTACAAATAATTCTAGAGTAAATATTAGTGTACAAGTTGGCCACTTCCCTTGGATATTGAACCTCTGCATTAATGAATTTAGAACACTGGTTCACAAGGTTGTGAGTTACAGGAAAACTGATGGCTTCTATTTTCAGGACCATTCACTAGAATCAATCATTGTAGTTTTTCCTATTCTTATGACTAAAATGGAATGTTTTTCATATTGGCAGTGGCTCAACTCCCAGTGAAACTGAACATGTTTTGACATGTTTCCTACCATTTATAATTTTGCTTCTAGAAAAATTGCCTGTTCTAACATTTTGTCAGTTTTTATATTGGATTAAAATTTTTTTTACTAATAAGTCATAGATGGTTTTTAATATTGTTGACATCAACAGTGAGGTTTTTGCTGTGGTTGGTTGCATTGTACTACTTAAAGATATGTGAATATATAAAATATTAGCAGATTATGTTCCCTTAAACAGTTATATCAGTATGGTCTTCATGAATCTGCTTCTTACAGTTTTATTGAGTTCCCTTATTTAAAATTCTTGCGAATTTTTCTAGAAAATCCTCAATAGGAATGGTTCTGCCATAATCAGGAAGAATCCTTAACAAATAAAAATACTTGTTTTGTTAATTTTGGAATGCTCAAATCTGACTCTAAACATTAAAATTTTACCTTGGGCATAATTTTTTTTCTTTACCAAGTCCCTCAGGTATACATTCTGCTGTTCTCTTCTTAAGGTTGATTTTATTCAAAGTTGACAATACAGTGCTCCCTCATTTCATCTGGCCACTCCATAACTGGGAATCCGTAGAGAGCCCAGTTAGAAGGACCTTAAGCTCTGGAGAGAGTTTGGCCACAGGGAAAATCAGAGTCTTTTATGAGCTAACTCAGACTTCCAGTGTTAGTGATAGGATTGAGACTCTAGAGCCATGACGTCACTGGGCTTTCAAGATCCTTGTTTGATCTTTGATCTTCTCACCTGTCTTCTGTGTCTTATTCATCATGAAAACTGTTGATGGAAAGGATTATGGTGAAGCGAAGCAAGAAAGATCATTTGACAAGGCATCACTGTATTAGCTCTGCTCAGACCAAAGCCATTGCTGATTTTTGTCATGTTTGCATGGTTATCTTCTCATTCCTCCATTGCAGTGCATTTTTCCCCCTTATTTTCTGGTGATTCCGTGGAGATGTGTCTCTGGTTTGCTGTTTGTTGATCTGGAGTCATTCCTTAAAGCTGCATTACAACATCTCCTATCCCCGTTTCTCATGCTGTTCTTGTACCACATGGCTATATATCGTGTTTCAGATACCTCGTGCTTGCTGCCTCTTTCAGGTCCAAATGTAGCAGCCAACAAGGCTTAATACTTCAAGAATTGGCACCTCTTAGGACATGGTGAGAAACTTAATGCTGAATAAAATGTATAGTCAGCACAGAAATAATGTTGAATAAATTTGATGTGACACCTACAGTACGTCTAGGTCTTTGTTATGTAAGCAGGAATTATTTCCACCAGCAAGTTGTCTAATGGCACAGATTGAGGCCCTGCTACCTAATTTGCCTCTAAAAGATTTTAATGTGATTTACTTCATCTTAAATCTTTTTGAATATGTGAAAGGCAGCAACATATATTCCTATCTTGGTGAACTTTCCCCCATAGATGCTGAGATTCTTGATTCCTTGAGGATTTCCCAGATTGTACTGAGCAGTCCTGATTCACGAACCTTCAGTAAGAGGGCTTCAAATTAGACTGCACAAGGTAGTCACTTGTACAGTACCTAATCAATAAATAAAATTCCCATCCTAGATCAGAATCACACTTTAAAGTTTCTTTAAATAGGACAGTGGATGTGTGCTTAGACCCAGACCTGAGTGTCCCCTGCCGTGACCCACAGTGCCCTTCCTCTCGTACAGCCCTCAGACACTCACCCCCAGCCTGGGCGTCTGCAGCAAACCTGACCTGAGGCCCTGCAAGTCTGCAGTCGGAGTGCCTTCCTCATCCCTTGTCCAGTAGCAACGGGGACACAAGTTACCTGCAGCTTTTATATAACCTCCTAGAGTAAAAAGGGAGACAGCCAGGTTGGGCAGTGGCGGGCAGGAAGGAACATTTAAGAGAAGACAAGAGTTTCTTTATGAAATAGATGTCATGTTTTAAAGTAGATGTTTTCAGCAGTCCTCTTGGAGAATTAGACCAGCCTTTTCAAGAGAACATGTCGTAAGGATCTGAACAATTCTGTGGTAGAGACCCCAAGTGGCAAACAATTATATAGCTTGGAAAAGCACAGTGAACTTGAATTGATTAGTGAGGCAAGGATATTGATGGCAGCTTCACACACAAAATGATCAGTAGTATTCTTAGCGAACTAAGTAGTATTCTTAGTGAACTAAATTCATAAAATCAGGATGCTGTATTTTTTAAATCAGAATTTGGTCCATGCAGAGGAGACCTTGGGGATTAGAAATGTGACAAATTAAAAACAACAAAAAGGAGGAGGATAAAAAATTTGCCATAAAATAGAGCAAAAAAAGTTGAAAATGGGAAATGTTTTATTTTTTTGAAATGAAGAGAGAATGAGACTATGCAGATGGACACAAGGGCCAGAGTGAGTTGGGAGAGCCGAATCCAGGAGCCTCTTCAAGGTTTCTCACATGCATGCAGGGGCACAACGACTTGGATCGCCTGCAGCTTTTCCAGACAGCATTAGCTGGAGTTGGATCAAACATGGAGCAGCCCAGACCAAAAACCTGCGCCTGTATGGAGTGCGGTGCCACAGCTGGTGACCTAAACTACCATACCACAGTGTCAGTTCCAACGATGAAAAATAAGTGTCAACAAATCAGAGGTCCGGGGAATCCAGTACCTACATAATCAAAGAAAAAAATAGAGGAGGAATTCTAGCATAGCAATCATTGTTCTACAAACGTGAAGGACGTGAATCTGTAGATTAACAAAATCAGTTAAATGCCCACAACATAATTGTTTAAAAAAAAAAAAAACTGGGCTGACAATGTTGGTCATTGAGCACTAGAGTCAAAGAAAAATTCTACAAAAGGAAGAGTTCCAGTAACTGGATTTAGAGTTACAGCAGCAAAATAATCTCTCAGCAACAACTGGAAGGGAAATGACTGCAGATCAATAGCTTGACAATTTTAACATAAAAATCACTTTCCATGGGCACAGCGAGGGAGCCTAGCAGCTGAAGTCCTTGCTTTGCATGTGCTGGGATCCCATGTTCGTGTCCCAGTGGTCCCAATTCCCATCCAGCTCTCTCCTCATGGCCTGGGAAAGCAGTCAAGGACAGCCCAAAGCCTTGGGACCCAGCACCTGCGTTGGGAGACCCAGGCTTAAGATTGCAGATTGGCTCAGCTCTGGCAGTTGCGACTACTTAGAGTTGTGAATCAGCAGACAAAAGATCTTCCTCTCTGTCTCTCCTCCTCTCTGTATATCTGATTTTCCCATAAAAATAAAATAAATCTTTTTTAAAAAAATCACTTTCTACCTATAAATGTGTATAAACTCAGTGAAGTTTGAGGATAAAGTAATCGTTCTCTGATGTTCATGAAGTTGAAAATTTTGCCAAACTCACATCTGTTCTCAGGAAGCTCCTTGAAGGTGTCCATCACCTAAACTCACAAAGGGAGAGAGGTGAAGGGAATCCGAGGATGGCAAAGGAAGGAATCTGGGAGTCCAGGCGTATGTCAGGCTAGCAAAGTCACCTGTCCATTCAGACGGGTCTGAAGTC